TGGGATGGAAGAGAAGGTCTTTGCTAAAGTGACAGAACACGCTGGAGGTGGAAGGGACAAGCGTGGTTTGACCCAGCCCAGGCTACCCCTTCCCGAATTCTGGAAGCCTTTCTGGGAAGACTGGCTTCCAGGCAGCACCAAAGGTGCTACCCCAAGCTACCCGGACCTCTGCGCTGGGTGACAGAAGCGTCCACTGGAGATGGGTGGCCACCTATTCACACAACAGTAGAGAGGCACACAAGGCTGTGCCTCTGGATGGGGAGTCCCTGAGGCCACCAGTCACTCTGAGCTCAGAGAAGAAATGGAGGACACCGATGGTACTGAGGCTGGAAGGGCTTGTTGATAAGAGCAAGGCGCCTCCTCTGCCCACTGTGGCCCCTGTTTGGCAAAAGGACCTCTTCTTATTTGCCTAGCAGTGCTGAGGGCAACGTCATGTTGCATCTGAACAAGGGGGCACTGCTGGCTGCCCCTCAGGGTTCACTGGACAGAATCATCACACAGGCAGGGCCAGGTGTCCTGGTTTTCCAATCTAATGACCTTGGCTTTGCAGCGAGGGGGGCCCAAAGCCCTAGAAAGACCTGGAGAACCTGGCTGACATAGGTGCCAGGCATCCACAGGCAGGACAGCGGCCCATCTGGAGCCCTGTCCGGGGCTGGTTCCTTAGCTTCCTGAGCAGGGGTTTGGGGGCTGAAGGTGCTGGGGCTCAGTACCTGGAGTTCTCTCCCTTCCAGAACTCTTTTCTGTCTGCACACTTGCTCAAGGCACAGGCTAGATTCCAGGCTCCCTCCTGGGCTGCTCGGGCTGCTCCTGCTCTCGGTGTGCTGGCTTCCCGCTGCGGTCCCCTCCTCTCCCAGCCAGCAGTTTCTCATGGATCCAGTTCCAGAGGTGGCTGCAGGAGCCAACCCCGATCAGAGGCACAAAATGTCACCTTCCCCTAATTTCTGGAAGCTGCAGATGCAGATGTATTTCCATTTCCTATTTCAACTTGCCACCCAAATAAAACTGTGTGCAAAGCATGAAGAAGAAAGAGGCGGAGGCCAGAATAAAGCCCCGGAAAAATGAGCCAAGCCGCTCTTCCTAATCGAAGTTCTCAGGCGACTCTGGAGAGATTTTATAAATGATGTTGTAACTTGTTTTCCCTGTATGGCGAAAACACAGGCTCCCCTCTTCAATGGCTCCACAATAGCACTGCAAGGTTCTCCACGCAGCGGGTTGTAACCTGGTATTCGAACCGGGACTGAGCAAAAGTTCCTGCGTACAAGGTCACGCTCAACAAGAAACACTACCGAAAGGCTCAAGACCGGGTCCCCAGTGCTGCAAAAGCGCTCCTGAAATTTTCTTAAAAATAATTTACCATTTTTTCCCTTCCAAAGTTTTCATGCACAAATTCAACGCGTACACGGTCCGTATCTTTAGCCAGATGATAGTTACAGTATTGTGCCCGTCCTTAGTAATTCTTCTAACTTTCCATTTAAGTTATATTATTGTAATCATAATAAAATGTTATGTAGGTTGACTGATTCAAAATGACACTCTATTTTCTAATCGAAGCTCTCCGTTCTTCTAGTTAAGAATGCGTGTGTTTGGGTTGGATTGGCTGAGCGGGTTGATGGCTATGGAAATTAACAAGGTAAAAATTTAAAAGCCTCTCCCTTCTGTTGCAAAACTAGGTGGGGGCCGCTGCCTTCCTCAGACTTCCAGCCCAGACTCCAGTTTTCTTGGATCTTCCTACAATCACCTGAGGGCTCTTACTGCTTCTACCCCGTTCCCACTTGTCCCTGTCTTTTTGGGGGGTTTCATATACCAAACATCCCGGTTCTCGGACTAAATTCAAATACGACTCCGACGGAGTTCACTCCTGTGTGGAGTGTGCCGGTGCAGGTGGGGAGGGGGCCGCATACTCTTAGCATTTAATCCTTGCGTCTAATTGGAGAAAGCAGGACGGATCCCTCGGCGCCCCAGGGCTCGGCCCTGCCCGGAGTCGCTAAGGCCCGGTGCGGAGGAAGCGATCCGCACGCAGCGAAAACCTGCGCGGACCGAATCGAAAGCGAAACAGGAGGGAGCAAGGCAGCTCCCGCAGAGGCCCCGCGCCCCGGGAGCCCGGCCCAGGGTGTGCGTGCGGGCGGGCGGCGGAGCGCCCCACACGGGGATAAGGAGGCTCCTCGCACCGCACCGCGCCGCTGAGAAACGTCTGGTCTCCAACCCGGCGCGTCTCCTGGGCTCCGGCCGGGACTTCGGAGGGTGAAGCTCGGACAGAGCCTGGCGGGGTCTGGCGAGGACGCCGTGGAGCTCCTTCTCCAAAACTCGAGCTTCTTTGCACCGGGAGGAGACTTCGGAAGCGCTCTGATCATTGCTCTTTTTTAGTGCTGACGGGAAAAGGAGGCCCAGGATGGGGCAGGCATCCCCACAGCCCCGGAGGATTTCTCCCCGCAGCTGCAGAGAACTCGGGGTTGCTCCTGGACTAGGGGCCCAGTCCCGAAGCTGAGGCCCAGGAGCCTCCATTTCTATGGGAGCTGCTCAGGGGCCCGGAGTACAAGCCCGGTTTTCAAGGTCTAAGTTGCCTGTGGTGGGGTGAGCTCAGCCAAGTCCAGGCCTAGCCCCAAAGCCACGGCCACCTTTCCCCCAGCTCCTGTTAACATCCAGGGAGTTCTCCTTTAGCCCCATTTCTCCCTTTTGAGTACACACCTACCCTAACTGTGGGAGAGCACTGTTGTCAACGTGTGCCTCAGTTTCCGTGCTTGCCTGCCGATTAGAGAGCCAACTCCAGAGGAGGCCTTCTTCCTAGCTACCTGTGTAAAAGGGCAGAGCCTACCTCTTAGTACCTCAGTGTCCCCATCTTGGACCTGTGTGTCTAATTTCTTTCCTAGAAGGATTAGAAATCTCCTGGCCAGGGGAACAGATGCTGAGAGGGGAGAAGAACGGAGCAATGTGTCGGTGGTGGCCGGTGGCTGTCTTGGGCAGAGCCTCCATCTTAGGTCACAGGGAGAAAGTGGTGACTGCCCAAGTCCCAGCGGAGGGCGGGCGGGGCTCACCCTTCGCTCCAAACAGCAGAGACCCAGTGCATGGAAGTATGGAGGAGGGAGGCTCCCAAGAGGGCCATTTACGACCCAGTGAAGCTTCTCATTACTGCCCCTGATCCCCAGGAGGAACAGGAAGCCCAGTGGCTAGCTGTACCTGGGTCGCACTGTGGGTTAGGGACAATTGGGGTCAAGTGGCTGGCCCTTTCCCCCAGCCTCAATGCTTAACGCAAGTATAGGAAGGGCCAGCTGGCCTTCTGGGCCTGGAGACAGGCCCAGCCCTCCCTCCTCTGCCTCTGGATCCCAAGCATGGCATCCTCTCACCCAGAGCTTGGGAGCCACTTTGCTCTTCTATTTCTGCTTCCTCAGGGGCCTCAATGGTTAATTTCTTTAACCTCTGAGAACGCAGTGCAGTGGGAGAGAACACATGTGAGTCCCCTCCCTTTGTGCAGTAAGCCTCTGTGGGCCTCCGTTCTAGGACCTACTCCCCTGCTTCACAGTCCCAGAGGACACAGCCTGGGCCAGGCTGGGAATGCAGGTGCTGAGGGTCCCCTTGGCCAGGGCATGTCTGGAGCACCTGCGATTGAGACTGAGTGCCTGATCTCATTCCAGCTGGAGGTGAAAAGGCAGAGGAAGTGGGGAAAGCCCTCTGATCTTTTCAAATCTGTTCTCAGCCCTGCCCTGTGGGTTTGGAGGTATACAGCTTGTCTGAGGCTGAGTGTGGTACTTGGTATCTGATCACTTCGGCTCATAAAGGAGTATGTGTGTAAGTGTCGACAAATGCTTGGGTATTTCCTGGTCCGTGCCCACCTACGTGCTTGTGCTCAGCCCATGAGAGAGGGCGTTTGAGTAGGAGAAAGTGTTATCACAGAATGTTTTCCTGAGGTAACTCTGGCCACCGAGGCCTCCGCTGTGTCCCATCTCTGTCCCCAGGCCTAGTGTGTCCACATCCAGAACAACCCTGTCAAGGACTCGCTCATCTCATCAGGGCCCTGCCTGAAGAAGGCCAAGGCCTGAGGAAAGTGTATCCAGGGCTCCTGGACCAGAGAAGACACCCTTTCCCCTGTCGGTTCTGCTACCCTCCAGTTTGAGGCTCCCCATGCCCGACTCCGAAGATAAAGAAGGCCTAGGCTTGAACTACACCGGTTTCAGGCCGCCTTTGGGCCACTCTCCCAAAGGCTGGCTGCACGCTGGGGGCCCAGGCCTGCGTCCTGCGGTGCGTTCAAGGGGGCTTGGAGGTCATTCGGGCCAGCTCCCTTGGGTTCCCTGTGGGCCCAAGTCGGGACCTACACTCTTCCCTCTTCCCACAGCCCTCGGCCGCCCGCGGCTCCGTGATTTCCTGCCTTCCCGGCCAGTGTGTTCTAAACCATTGTTTTGAGATTGCCCGCTTGCTTGCTTCCAAAGATCGAAGGGAGAAGCGCTGGAGAACGCCGGCTGCAAGCGCGCTGGCCTGGGACTCGGGTTTTCTGAGGTTCCCGAGACTCCGGACCTGCACTGGGGCCCCAACTCTGAGCCCATGCGCTCGGCACCCCCGCACCTGCGCCGCCCTTACCTGCGGCGCCGCGCCTGGAGCCTCGGGGCGGCGGAGAGCGAGGCCTTGGAAGCCCCGAACCTGGCGACCTCCGCAGCCGCGCCGCGACCACGGACGCAGCACCGCGTCCGACCCGGACCCCGCGGGCAGAGCGCAGCGCGCGGCGAGCGGTTTGGCGAAACGACGAAGGCACCGCGAAACCCAAACTCCGGGGCGAGTTTAATCACCAAAGCGCAGCGCGACAAAGGCCAGAGATGCGGACGAGACGGAAAGGACCCCTGTGCTCCTTCCTCGAAGCGGCAGATCCCTCAATTCTGACCCGGAGTCACCCGCCGCTCCCCCGCGCCTCCCCAGAGCGCCACCTTCCTCCTGCCGAGGTTCCTCCAGCCGCGTGGGTTTGGGGCTGTGCGGGCGCCGAGGTCCCGGCCCCAGGGACCCGCACGTGCACTCACCGTAGCAGGAGACCTGCAGGGCCGCGCTGTGGCTGCCGCCTTCCTGGAGCTTGAGGCCGCCCTCCGGGGGCGTCTTGCAGGCGCCGCGCTGCAGGTACAGATGCGGGGGCTGCGCGGCCGGCGGGGGCTGCGCGCTGGGCGTCTGCGGCTGGAACTTAGCGAAGGAGCCGCGCGCCCCCGCGCCGCTCTCCAGGGGCGTCGCCAGGTCCTGCTGCCCCGCGCCACCGCCGCCGCCGCCAGCGTAGCGGGCCCGGCACTTGGCGTCCCCGAATCCCTGCCCTTTGGCGGCGGCCGAGAGGAAAGTTGTGCCGAACTTGTCGCCGCTGCCGGGGAATCCTCTAAAAGGCGACGAGCCCTCCCGGGTCTGCGATACCGGACTGTAGTAGGCGTCCATGGCAGCGGCCGGCGACTCGCAGTACGAGACGCAGGTCTCCGCGTTCATGCCTGGCCGGGCGGGAGGGCGGGGGCGCAGACGAGGGCTCGGGGACGCGAGGACGCGAGGACGCTAGGACGCCGCCGCGCGCCCGGCCGGGGTGGAGAGGCGGTGGCTGCGCTCGGGGCGCGGGCTCCCTCCTCCCTCCACGCCTGTCTCCCTGTCTCCTCTCTCTCCCTCTCCCTGTCTCTCTGTCTCTCTCTGTGTCTCTCTGTCTCTCTCCCCCCCTTCTCCTCCCCACCCCCTCCCCCCTACCTCTTGCCTTCCCTCCCTCTCTCCTTCTCTGTCCCTCTCTCCTGCTCTCCCTCTTTCTCCTTTCTTCCTACCCACAGCCGGCCCAGGGAAGGAAGGAGTGCTGTAAAAAGATTCAGATGTTTCGGAAAGTTGACCAGATCTCCCAAACCCTCTTAAGGTTTTGAGGCGGAAAAAAAAAAGTGAATTTTTTTCTTGACTGGCTCCTTCCTGCTCGCCACCGCCGCCGCCTCCTCCTCCTCCTCCTCCTCCTCCT